ATTATTAAATACTAAAATATGATTTAATCCTTGATTTAATCTTTATACAAACCTTTGATATTAAAAAAATCAAAAAATAAATGCAATATTTTATGACGTTATTAAATTTTTTTTTAATAATTATTGAATAATTTTTTTATTTTTAAGCCAATTTTCTGCATCTTTAATTTTAGCCAATGCTAAAATAATATTTTTATTTAACTACCTACAAATAAAGATGTACATATTCTAATGAAAAAAATGAAATCATTCTTTGTAGATTTTTTATTTTTTATTTTTTATTTTTTAAAATTTATTCTTAGCATTGATATCATATATAAATTTTAAACTATGTATGTATTGACATTGTTGGATTCAACTAATAATCACTTGCGGTAGTTATTTCTATGTTAAACAATATGTATTTGCTCCTACCTTATAATGTATACAACTAGCATTTTTTTTAAATTAATATCCATATGCCTTTCTTATCTTTAAAGACTAATGCATCTTTATGATTATCTTATTAACTTCAAATAGAATGTCCTTAGTCTTGGCTTTAGTCTTTTAAATAAAATACAATCTTGTTATCTAAAAACTTTATAATGAGTAAGGAGTTACAAATCTAATTGATAATTTGATTAGATTTTTTTTTTTTTTTTTTTTTTTTTTTTTTATTCAATCTTGATGAAGAGAGATGCTACAATTTGTAGTTAAATATATATAAATTAATTACTATATTTATATATGTAATAATTACTTCCACTAAGATTGTCATGATAAAGAAATTTACTGCCTTCATTGTTTGATTTTTTTAATATCAAAGGTTTGTGTAATGATTAAATCAAGGATTAAACCATATTTTAGTATTTAATAATGAAAAATATCAAAGACTTATACTTTACAAACTCCTTTCAAAAGAACATTTTGGAATTTCTTCAAATACTATCTTACATTTATTATTAAGGTATTTTTTTCTTCTTAAGGAATAGTATTGTTTTTAATTTAACTACTATCTCAATTAGTTTGAAGTTGATTCATATCATACCTTTTCTTTCTTTCTTTGTATAAAATAGTCTTTTTAGTATTGTTATTTGTTAGCAAAAGCTTATAAGAAAGTCAAGAATTTACAATGTATATAGCTTAATTTATTTTAACATAATTTGAATTCAGAGTATAAAGTATATTCCACAAGTCTATAATGGCAATATAATATTTGAGTTTCAATAAGTAAGAGATATAAAGTTGGTTACAAACTTCATAGATAGAATGGATAATTGATTTGATAGTTGCTCAAATCTTCTATATAATCTTTGATTGAGAATTATGATTCTTTAATTGATAATATAATTAAAGAGTGATAGAGATTTTATTGAAGTTGTCAATAGAAGAGTTCTCCACTATATAATCTTAGATATTTTCAACTTAGTAGGGCTATATGCTATGTATATTATATTACCTTAGAATACTTGCAATAAAGATTTTGTTATTATATCACAAATATTAAGTAACAACAAATAAATATTTTCATTGTAGGCTTGCCATTGCATTTTTTGCCATTGCAAAATATTTTAAGAAATAAAATATATTATATTTCTACTTTTAATAGCTTAATTATCTAGTTGAAAAATTAATTAGAATAAAAGTTCAATGAGGGAATAAAATAACAAAGTTCTTTAGTATATAGAATGTGAATTCTTAAAAAAAATTAGATCTCTTATAAACTTGTTGTGTACTAAAATCCTTAATAGTTAAAAATAGAAATAATATAACATACATTAAAGAAAGAACAATATTGTAGTATTTTGTGTTTTTAAATAAATTGAAAGTTATTTTTTTTATAATATGTCTCTTTATTCATAATAGGCACAATAGTCTTTGTCAATATCATTATATTTATTTTATATCATTCTAAGCTTTTAAAGAGAGTAGAGTGTACATCCTATATTATACTCAAAAAATAGTAAGTACTACTTTTAAATTGATAATGAACTTTGGCTAATATAAAAATAACCAATAAAAAAATTTAATATTTTTATGAACCTTTTTCAATTCTGAAAAAATATTACCCATAATTCTATAAGATAGCATATTATTAACTTATACAAACATGGTATACCATCAATGAAATCTTAAATCTATTTAAAACTTAATAAAAAAAATAAAAATCATTTATCAAGATCTAAAAGGATATTATAGAACTGAAAAGATCCATTTAAAAATTTCTTTTTATTTTAGTTTCTTTCAATTATCTTTATATTTTATAATTTTATAAAAATAGATGGATTGTTAAATACTTATAAACATTGACTTTGTAAATCAATTCTTAACTTGTTCATCTTTTCTATACATATATATGTATATAGTAAATAAAATTTAAAAAAACATGATCTTTTTTATTATAATAATTCTTACTACGGTTTGTTAAATTAAATCAAATCATAAATTAAAGTTCCTAGTAGTAATTTTTATCTTATATACTTTTAGTAGAAGTTTAATAAAAAAATATTTCAAGATTATGTTTCAATTTTCTAACAATGTACAGCTTAATTGAAAACAAAAATGTGTTGTATGAATTATTTGAAATTTTTAGTATTATATTTTAAGGTATCTTTTATAAGCCAAATTAATTGTAACTAAAATTTCAAATAAAATTAATAATTAAAAAAACATACTTTAATAATTACAAATAAATAATGTACTTATAGTAATATTTTTAATTTTAATTCATTATCTAAATAGTTTATAGGTTTTGTTATTAATTTTTTACTAATTTTATTTCTATAATTTATAAGAGTGATATTAAAATAATTCAAATGAGATTTTACATACAAATGTTCAAAAATTCCACCATTAAAAATTCAAACTAATAGATTTTTTTTTTTTATTTATTATTTCTCTATTTACAACAAATAATATTATGAATGTTAAATCTTAAGTACAACCATGGTATCAAAACTTTTATGAAAATATTCACTTAATTTTTTTTTAAAGCATAAATATTAATATTATAAAATATATTAAATTTTTTGTACCAAGTAATCAATCTTTAAAACCAATAAAAAAATCTCATCATAAATACAACACTAATTGATTGAAATAAATAAAAAAATCTAATAAAAAATATTTTGAAATAATATTATATCACTATTATTCTTTATTTGGAAAAGATATAAATGCCATTTTTTTGAAAAAGAGCCATAGTTAATATACATATTTATTTATATACTAGTAGAAACTCATGCCATTGGCTACAAAAAAAGTGGCCAACAACAAATATTTGTTAGCTTATTTATTTTTTGGAAGCTTCTAAATTCTATGCCCAATAATCTTATAGTACTACTCTTAGCAACTTGTAGCTACAACATGCAAATTTTGATCTTTGATTAATCAAAAGTTGACTTATTGCTTTACTTTTGTTTTACTTTTGATGAAAGAAATATAATATGTAACCAATTAAAGGTGGTTTTTGTCTCATTTGATTTAGCCTATTGTTTTATTCCTTTGAGTTGTTTTATATAAGAGATTAGATGAGCCTATGTCATTGTCACAAAAAGTGTGACTCAAATGAAGCATTTTTTAAGCCAAATAACATTTTTCAAATATAAATATAATATAATAAAAATAGAAAGAAATAAAATACACAATGGAGCTTTCAACTATGAAGTAGGATAGGTAAATTTGTCCCTTTGTCATAGATAGTATGCAAAAAAAAGAAGTTAATTTTGTTCAATGAACTACTTGTGAAAATTTTGAAAAAGCATCAAATTACATTAAAAAATCATAAAAATATGTTAAGACATTCAAAGATGTATTAAATTCAATAAATAAAAAAATTTAAATACAAAATATAAAAATAAATTATTAATATTTATTTATTTAATTTAAAAAAAAATCAATGTAAAATTTAAATTATTATTTTTAAGCAGAAGAATTTGATAGAATGGGAAGAAGTGCATCAAAAGAGTGCTACATAAAGTTGACTACCGAAAAAAACAGGTTGTTGTAGATTCAAACCAATGTGCTTCACCAATTGTCTTTGGATTTTTTTTTTATTATTATAGCAAATGCAACATGGATTAGAATCTGCTTTTTTAAAAAAATAAATAGAAGTTCTTTTATTATAGAAGTTAATATAATCCACAAAATAAACACCAAGTTTTTAGCAAATTTTCCTCCAAGAATTCTTACTTCAAGAACTTGATCTATAAGAGCATCTCCAACGCGTAGGGTCTAATCTAAGGTCTATTGGTAATTTTCTACGCCACGAAGTTGAAATAGAACGGTTCTATATAGAACGGTTCTATATAGAACCCCGTACAATACACATGCGCGCTACCGTCTATCGTTCAAATTAAACTGCAATGATCCCGAGCATTCGAGACTGGTTTGATCGCACCCGACGTAAAAATCTGCTTGACGATGACTTGGAGGAGTCCAGAATGTTGTTCAGTCTCAAACAGAAGACACCTGACGAGCCTGATCACGGAGGTTCTTGTCCAGGTCGAGCGGCCAACACTGACCGTGACTTTGAAGAAGGATATAGAAGAATATTTCAAGATTATTTTGCTGATCATCCAATTTACTCTTCAAAGTTGTTCAAGCGACGTTTTTGTATGCGCCGTGAGCTATATCTTAGAATCATGAATGGCATTAAGGCTCAAGATCCTTGGTTCGAACAAAAAACCGATGCACTTGGAAAGAAAGGTCTCTACCCGCTCCAAAAAGTGGTTGCTGCAATTCGATTGCTTGCCTATGGATGTAGCTATGATATAATTGGCGATTATATTCGAATCAGTGAGTCTTAAGCGAGCGATTGTCTGTAGCATTTCTGTGCGACAGTTGAAGCACACTTCGGCCCAGAGTATTTACGCTCGCCGACAGAGGAAGATTTGAAGCAAATTCTCACAGAAAACGGTGCACACGAATTCCCTAGGATGATTGGCTCCATCGATTGCTATAATTGGAAATCGAAAAACTACCCGAAAGCCTGACATGGCTCATATAGAGGGATCAAAGGAATGTCGATTGTGCTCGAAGCTGCCGTTTTTCATGACCTTTGGTTTTGGCACGCTTTCTTTGGCATGCCCAGTCGCATGAACGACATCAACGTTCTTCAGCGGTCCCCATTGCTGCATTCTATTATCACAGGCAAGATGCCATCAGTCAATTACGTGGTCAACGGAAGTCCATACTCCATGCCCTATTGGTTAGCTGATGGAATCTATCCAAACTGGCCGATTTTCATGAAATCCATTCCCTATACTCAAGGAGCCGTAAGGAAACATTTTGCAATGGTGCAAGAAGCGTGCCGTAAAGATGTCGAACAAGCTTTCGGTGTCTTACAAAAGCGATTTGCCATTGTTAGGAACTCAGCCCGTAGTTGGTATCAAGAGAAACTGTCCTCAATCATGAGGGCCTGCATTATATTACACAACATGATTGTTGAAGATGAAAGGTACTCTCCGGATTTTGCCTCAGACCAAGAGTTTGAGACAGGCGAGATTCGTCCGGTTCGCCGATGCCGTTGCCATCGAAGGATAGTGCAACCAATTGAGATCTATCGTACTGCCATTGAAGATCTGCCCGCATAGTTTCTTGCCATCAAGGTGGCTCGTATGCAAACAATTCATGATCACGCAAATGGCAAAGGGCTAAAAATCATTTAGACGTCATCACATCTGGCAAAAGGCTGGAAATGAACAATAGGAAATCTCATTTTTGATGTATTAGTTTGGATAAATTCCCATTTCTTGGGCTTGCTGTTTTAATTTTTTTCAACTCAATTTTTCGTTTCACGTCATGAAACTAGCGGGCAATATCATCTAATGCTATCAGATCTACCGAGAAAAGAGCCAACCTATTCTGTGCTTCAATCAAATCGTTTAGACGTCGTGCTTCAACCACGTAAGAGCGCTGAATACCAGCTAACTCGTCATCTTCATCCACGTTCTTTCGAACGATCTCTTTAGCCTTTTTGGTTCCCATAGGACGCTTCAATGGAGTAGGTTGACCCTCATCTGAAGATAAATCCACAACATCTTTGTCTGGCCGCATGTGTTTGGAACGATTAGCCTTGACAGTCAGTCCATGTTCAAACTTTGGAACGTGCTTTCAATGGTATTTTCAGATCTGGCGGAATTTAAAGGAAGATTTCTCAATCTTGACATAAATTTCAAGGGCCTCTTCAATATAATAGTCTTCTTGCTGTCCCGATTTTGGATCCGCCAATGACATGGCGAAATGTCCTGTAAATTTCCAGCAAGACGATTGAATTTCTTTCCAGCGGTTGCACAGTGCATCAGAGGTTCGTTTGGAATCAGGAACGAATACCTGGAACTGCTACAACACACGGTAGTAGAATTTGGAGCTCTTCTGGTCAACACCTACTATAGGATCATGACTCACATGGACCACTGAGCGGGCAAGGAACATGTCCTCATCGGAGCTCCAGCTGTTCCCGCGTCCAATGGCATTTATCGATGCAGCATTGCAGACAGGAAGAACAATATCGAAGTATGAAACTACAGTTCGCAAAAAAAATAAACTACTCTATTCTACCCCTACGAGAATTGAACCCCAGCCCCGACACTCATGCAACTCCGTAGACCTTTGAATAGCCAGCGGTCTATTTCCTTCAAAAATAGAACGGTCTATCGAATAGATAGCTTTTAGAACTACATTGGGGAACTCCGTGGCGGGTCTATATAGAATAGACCTCGGAATAGCCCAGCGTTGGAGATGCTCTGTCATATAATTATTAATTTGGTTCTATTGCAAAGTCCGTGGCAAGGAGCAATATTTCTTAGTAGCATCACTAAAATATTAATCTCAAGACAAAGCCTTGATTTGGCCATTCCGGATGGATTAAGGGACTTAATGAATTTGAGTGTATAAACATTATTGTTGTTGATACTATCTTTGGCAATAACTTCATCAGCACTTAAATATTCTTGTTCTTCTTTAGAAAATATGGTTATAATCTTTTCATTAATATCCTCTACATCATCATTCTATGCAAATAAAATGATCCTATCTCTTAAGAAGGTATCATTTGCTACACCATTGTCGTGTTATAATACAACTATATAATAAAAATATGAATAAAAATGATATTATGATTTTTATTCTATTGTCTTGGTTTAAAAATAATTCTAAAAATTTAAGCAAGGCTTTTATGAAAGCCTCTTAGTTATTTTTTTATTTTAATATCTAATAGATTAAAGTTTGGTTAACAAATATATCTTCTAGATTATAAAAAAATATTCTAGTACCTCAAAAAGGCCATAAATTGATAAAAATGAAATAGATTAGATAAATATTTAGTATAGAAAATTCTAGAATAAAGTTAAAGATAGGTTTGTGCTAAAAAATCCTTAGGAAAGGTTGGATTGATACTTGAGAGATGACAATTTGTAGATCAGGATCAAAATCAAACATCTAGCCACTAAAGCGATTGCTTAGGACAAAGTAGGAGAGATTTTTTGAAATTAGAGAGTTGGATTAGAAAATTGGCTTAAAACTCGTTCCAAAGTTGTAAAGCTTGTTTCATAAGTTTTGAGATGACTTTGCAATTGTTGTGCAAATTCAAGGTTTATATTGGTGACTTTGGATTTATGCAATAAAATTAAAGCTAGTACTATCAATTGGTTTGTAAGATGCATATGATATCTATAGTTCAAATTTTGTTAATATGTAGTTAAATAGGTGTACTAATAATGAATAAAATTTAGTATTATTCTAATAGTGCAATTAGAAGATATTTAGTTATTAGTACAAGAAGGTACTAGAAGTTAATAGTTTAGGATTGGATAGGATTTTTGTAATATTTGAAGATCTAATTATTGGAAAAAAGAGAAATTTGGCATGGTTTTAGAAGACTAATATGTCAAGGTATATACTAATTTAGAGTTAAATTTAAAAATTGAAGATTAAAAAATAGTTGCTCAAACTTCATTATCAACCTTCAAATAGGCGGTAAAGGAATACCTTTGTAATTATTTTGCATTTATTTTATAATTTGTACATTCGATTAGATTGAAATTTTTTAAGTATATAGAAGATATATTATTTAACTAATATGTAAAATTTTATGTCAATTAGATAATTAGATTAGGAATTATAATTAATTGGTGCTTACTACCTAGAGTTAGGATTTGGAAAAAAAATTAGAAATTAAAAAGAAATACAAATAACAAGACAATTAGGATTTGTATTTGCTTGAGGTAATTAAAAAGCTTGTTTTTGACTACTTTGCATTGGCCTTAAATTCTTTTATATTAGAATTCAAATTTCTTATTTTTTAATGGTTAAAACCTATTACGAATTTTTAGATAATTACAACATATGACTTCACCTTCCATAGCCATGTATCCAATATATTTTCAAATAATAAGACATATAATATAACACCGTCTTTTGCTAGCCTTGGATAAACAACATCCACTAAAGATATTAATTGCTGATCAAAAATCATGAGATTGAGAATCATAACTATATTATCAAATAATAAGTTTATACCATTTTTAATTTAGCAAGTAGAAAATAGAAATATTAGTAAATAATAATATAACCATAAAGAATTCAAATGCACCACCATTTGCATATACAATATGTGTGTGCATTCTATACTTGAAGAAGCTAATTAACAAACTTTATATCTCCTTGAACTGCTTCTGAATTCAACTTCATATTTTCTTTTAATGTATGGATTTTTATTTGAGGCCAAAGTATTGAACATCAAAAAGATGGTACTATAGTTTCCTCTTGAGTTTCTTTTACAATCACTAATAATATGTGGAAAAAATCTCCATCAAAAACTATTGTAGCTCCTCCAAATAAGCAACCACTATTTTCAATGTTTTTAAAAGAATGATCAACTTCTTTAAGACAATAATAATATTGTATTAGAAGTTCATGTCAAATAATAAGTAAAATTTAACAAATAAACTTAACATGGTCAAAATTCTTAGTAATTGAATAAAAAGAATCTTTATTATAATCTAGTAGAATCTTAAACGTAGGATGGACAATTCTTCTTCCATTAAGTAGCAATGTAGCAATTCCTAATGATGCAATATTTATGACAATTTTTTGCATCAATCAAACTTTAGTTTCCAAAATATTATAAACAAATGTCTTATCAATTTTTTTAGGTCTGTTAAGAAAAACATGCATCTATGTTCTTCTATTATAAAAGCCACAATATTATATATATTTTTTGTTTAAGATTCAATTATGGAATCAATAGCTCCAAATTTGCTTCTAATTGTTGAATGTCTTATGTTCTTTTTTGAGGAATAAATTGAATTCTATTAAATATTGCATTTCAATTCTTTCTTGGTAATAGCATTGGAAAAAACTTCGCAAGCATTTTGTTTGAGTCTTGTAAAATCTTATCTAATAAAAAAAATCTAAAATCCTTAATCTATTCCTCTGTTGGATTGCTAATACCATGTTTTTTGTGCAAATGGGCATTGAAATCATTTAAGATGCTTTCCAAAAATCTTTTTTATAGATTTAATGGATTTAACAAATTAATGTATAGTAGCAAAATAATAAACAATATCTTTAATTAAGATCTAGTTTATATTCTTGATGCCTCTTCTAAATATTGTTGCCACTCTTTATCATCTTTAAGCAATCCTAAAGTGATACATATATTTTTAAATATTGGATAAAAAATTCCATGAATAATCTTTAAGTGATCAAATAATTATAGACCTTTAACATAAATTAATAGAAGCTTCAAATTATATCTTTCTTTCATTGTTGGATTTATAAAATATTACCGTACAATAGTAAATCTATACTTTTTAACATCCACGTCCTTCTTGTCTTGCACCAAATAAAATATTATAAAAACTACTAGTATATATATTGTCTTGCCATTGCTATTACTGCACTTGTCTCAAAAAATAAAATTAATATTGTCTTTTATCTTTCAGCACGTTTTAAAATTGCAATTACCTTGTCATTTTGATTATATATTATTTGATGCATTATTGGAAGATAAACGGCCAAATAAATAATACCTTGTATTTCTTTAAGGATTTGCATGCCAAAAAGTTTCTAAAAAATCTCTAAAACTCTAATGTATCTTACATCCAAATGTTATTTGGTATCATCTTATTAGTTTTCAAATTGCATTATAATGCGATTATAGCCCTTATAGATGTTCTTATAGATATACTTAAAAATACAAATAGATGCACATACTTCAATATTAATATGACAATTATACTTCTAAGATAATTTTGAACAAAATGAAACAACATCTCTATTGTCAATAACCATTCATCAAACTTCAAATATTCTTCTATCATTTCTTCATAGATATTGAGGATATCCATCAACACCTATTGTTGTTTTATCCATAAATATCTTTAAATATTTCTTTGTATAATGGCCATCTTCCAGGTAAGATACTTGAGGATTTTGCATTCCACATGGATCATGTACTATGCATTGTAGAATAACTTCAAATAGCTTTTGGTTATTGTCTTTATCTAGGAATTTTATAGAAACCATATAATTTACATTTCCAACGTATCTAATCTTACTTTTTTATCTAAAAAATTTAAGATGTGCATAT